GACGACTCTCAGTGCACCATCAAGACCGTCCCGAACATCCTTGAGGGCAACATTCTGAACCATTTGGGCCCTTACGAGGGTATCTCAATTGGCACCATCTTCTGCAACTAGAAGATGCATGGGTGCAAAAATTACGCATCGTAACGGAGGCGTGACACGATTAGCACATCCTATCACTATGGATCTTGTACATTACTATCAGACTAGCAGCGAGGACGTGGTGGTAAAAGGACGACGAGCTGCGGCTCGAGGCGCCCGTATATGTATTCTAGGCTAACTACCATAAATGTAAGCTATCGCGATATTTCTACGTAAGGTGCTACGGCCTTCCAGGCGTTGAGTAAGAGAGTACGGTACTGCTATTCCGAGGCGGCGCTCTCTACGCTCGGCGGCGTCATACACTCCAACACTCCCCCTCGACGCCGAGCGTCAAGGTCGCATACCCATGCGGAAGATAAGCGTCTTGAAGCGCGGGCGAGGCAGCGCTTTGGTAAGCGCATCCGCGAGATTGTCCTCGGACGGGCAGTGGACGACCCTCACCTCGTTAGAGGCGATCCGCTCGCGTACGAAGTGATAATGGATATCAATGTGCGGGCGTGTGAGGTCTGCGCGTGAGCGGAGGCGATGGCACTTTGGTTGTCGACGAACATGTCGGTCGGACCGTCGATGGGGAAGCCTAGTTCCGCGAGGAAGGTGCGTAGCCACGCGATGTCGGACGTTGCGAGGCTTGCGGCCATATACTCGGCCTCCATCGACGACTTTGCGACAGTCCGTTGCTTGCGGGAGGACCAGGCAACCGGGCCGTTGGCCATAAGGAAGATCTGGCCGGAGATGGAGCGGCGGTCGTCTAAGTCGTTCCCCCAGTCAGCGTCCGAGTACCCAATCGGCGCGAGTACATCGCGGTCGCCATGATAGACGATGCCGAGAGTGCGGGTGCCTTTCAGGTACCGCAGTACGCGCTTTGCTGCCGTGAGGTGCACGCCTGTCGGATTGCTTGAGTACTGACTGAGCTGTTGGACGGCGTGAGCAATATCCGGGCGTGTCCCGAGGGCAGCGTACATGAGAGATCCCACGATGGCTTGATAACAAGAGCGTAGCTCTTCGTCAACTTCACCATCGTGTGCGCGAAGGCGGACGTTGGGGTCGAGAGGCGTATCGACTGGGTTCGCGTTCATCATCCCGAAGCGTTCGAGGATTCGGTCGATATATTGCGTCTGCCGAAGAGTGAGCGTCCGAGCGGCACGGTCCCGTGTAACCTCGAGTCCCACGACTTGACGGATGGGCCCGAGATCGGAGAGTTCGAAGAAAGCGGAGAGTTCTTGCTTGAGCGCGTCCGTTGTTTCGGGAGACGACGTAAGCATGGTCATGTCGTCGACGTGGACGGCTACGATGCTCGTGTCAGTGTCGCGAGCACGTAGGTAGACGCACTGATCGGAGATCAACCGCTTGAAGTTGAGCCTCTTGAAAGCTTGGTCGAGCTCTAGGTTCCACTCGCGGCCGGATTGTTTGAGACCGTACAGCGTGCGCTCGAGTTTGCAGACGTCGGGACGGCCGTTCTCGTACATGGGTGGTTGGCGCATGAATATCTCCTCGCGCAGGTGCCCATTGAGGTATGCGCCTACAATGTCAGCTACCTGAATGTCGTAGTCGAGGAGGGTTCCAAGCGCGAGCAAGACGCGTAAGGTTTCGAGTCGAACGACCGGGGCAAATGTTTCGACGTAATCGATGCCCGGGATCTGTGAGAACCCCTGGGCAACCAGTCGGGCCTTGTGCTTGATGATGCGTCCGTCGGCGTCGCGCTTGAGGCGGAAAACCCATTTGCAGCCAATGGGTTTTCGGTCCGGTGGGCAAGGAACGAGCGTGTACGTCCCGAGTCGTTGGAGCTGCTCGATTTCGCGGTCCATGGCGGCCTTCCATTCGGGCCAGTCCGAGCGTGCCTGGGCTTCGGCGAGAGATTGTGGATCATCGTTGGTGTTGGTAATGAGAGCGAAGGCGTAGTTCTCGATCGCGATCTCGGAGACGTCTGGAGCTGATGGCTCTGGCACAGCGGCGGGCTGAGAAGGCTTCTGAAAGCGCGGTGCGGGCTTGCGAGCATCGGGATTGTTTGACTTGCGGTAGTCGATGTGCTCCCCGGCGTGTCGCAGCATGCGAGTAGGCTGTGGCGGTGGCGTCGCAGACGTGGGCTGCGCTGGAGGGCTGACAGCCGGTGGCGTATCAGATTCGCCCTCTGGCAGTTGCTTCGGCGAGAGTGGCTGCTCCCCCTCAACTGCCAAGGGCGGTTGCGACGGGCCTCCTTGGAGCTTGATGCCGGTTCGGTCGAAGACGACGTTGCGGGACGTGATCACTTGCTGAGTGGTCGGATCGTAGAGGTGATACGCGCGAGACTCTTCGGAGAAGCCGAGAAAACGGCAGGGGCGTGACTTGCGGGCGAGTTTGTCAATCGAACTGTCTTGACGGAGGACCCAGCAGACGGCGCCGAACTCGTGTAGGTTGGAGACGTCGGGTTTCTTCCCCCAGAAGGCTTCGTAAGGGGTCTTGTCGGGAATAGCCCGGGTTGGCGCGCGGTTCTTGAGGTAGACGGCGTAGTTGACAGCTTCGGGCCAGAGCTTGATCGGGAGGTTTGATTCGAAGAGCATTGCGCGTGCGGCGTTGAGGACCGTGAGGAACGATCGTTCGGCGATCCCATTTTGGGCAGATGAGTGCGGGGCGGTTAATTCGAGGCGGATACCGTGCGCGCGGAGGAAACCTTTGATGTGTCGATTAAGGAATTCCTTCCCGTTATCGACTCGGACGGCCTTGAGGCGAATTCCTTTCTGATTCTTGAGGAAAGCGCGGTAGGCTTGGAGCGCGTCGAGTTGATGCTTCTTGTCGCTCGAGAAGTAGCGCATAGCGTAGCGCGTGCAGACATCCGTGAAGAGCGTGAAGTAATATTCACCATGAGTGCCGCGGTGGCGTGCCGGTCCCCACATATCGCAGACGGCTAGGTCGCCGATTTCGCCGATACGGGTGAAAGATTGCTTGGGGAACGGGAGGACGCGTTGCTTCGCTTCGATGCAGGCGCGGCACTGGTCGCTTGCGGGAGCGGATTCATCGACGTTCATGCCGGTAACGAGCCCTTTGCGGGCTAACACGCGAAGGTAGTCATAATTCAGATGCCCGTACGCTCGGTGCCACTCGTCCCAGGTGCGATAGTCGCGAGTAGCGAGTGCTGTATTACTACTTGTAGTTACATCGAGTCTGTACAGCCGCCCGTACTTCTTGCCCGTAGTAACGAGACGCCCCCTTCCGTCGCGGATCTCTACCAAGTTGCCTTTGAACGACACTCGTCCGCCGGATTCGGTGATGCGGGCGACGGAAACGAGGTTGTGGGTTGCTGCGGGGACGTGTGCAGCATCGCGAAGAGTGATGGGCGTTTGCCGGGCTGCTTGAGGGACGAGGGCGACTGTGCCGTGGCCAAGCTGGGCAATCTCGTGGCCTCCAACTCCGTGGATTGTTCTTCCGGGGGTGGCAACGTAGTCCCGGAAGGCGGTGCGGTCGCGGATGACGTGGGTTGTGGCTCCGGAGTCGAGGAAATACGCGTCGGGGTCGTAAGCGGCGAGGGCGGCGTCGTCGGAGGCATCCGATGGCATGCGGGCCATCCAGATAGTCCCCGCGACTTGCCGGGCTGGCATCTTGCCGTCGTCACTGTCAGAGTCGTCGGCAACGTTGGCGTGTGCGTCGTTTGGGCGCGGATTGCGTTCGCTGTGGTACTTGCTGCGAGAGCCGTTGCGGTCCTGGTCCTGGTCGCGTCGAGGATCGCGGTTATGTCGCTGTCCGGAGTGCGACCTCGAGCGGCACTCACGGGCATAGTGCCCGCGGCGGCCGCAAGAATAGCAGGTAATCTTCGACTTGTCGGTGGCCTTGAGTGCCGTGTTGTCGTCGTTGTCATGCTTTCCGCGACGGTCTTCTTGGAGAATGCGGGCGATGAGCTTCGCAGAGGTAAGGCGAGGGGCTTTGCCGGGTTCGGTTTCGGTCAGGTCCGTTGGGTCGATCGCGCGAATGAATGGGTTCCAGGACTCTGGGAGAGACGTGAGAATGATAAACGAGAAGTCGGCGTCACTGACGGTTTGGCCGAGCGCGTGTAGCTCGGATCGATAGCCCCGAAGCTTGCGCAGGTGTTCTTCGATGTCGGCGCCTTCAGCGCATTGGGCGCGGAAGAGCTTGCGTCGCGCCTCGATTATACC